AGATACACAGCCTTTATTTTAAACTTGGCACTCTAAAATCAGATAAAAAGTATATTTGGGGGAACTGACTGAACAGAACAAAAATGAAAAGGTTAAAATACACTTTCTGGAGTTTGAAGCTCCATGGGAGAGGACTGAGAAAGGAGAGAGCTAAAAACAAACAGATTTCTGCTTATCTTTGTGCTGAGCATTGAATATCTCGTAAGATACATCAGCTCCCTTAACTCAGTTTTGTAAAGCAACAGCATAATACCGACTGCAAACGTTAATCTGCTATGCAGAATTTTCTGTTCAGTAAAAAGTAAGCATTCTTTGAAAATATGATGGAAAGCACATTTGGTGTCCTTTTGACTAAACAAGCACAGTTCCTGATTCAGTAGTACAGAAACAAAGGAAGGAGGAAACAGGCTCAGGATCACGACAATACTTAAATCAACACTGAACTGCAAATTTGCACCTCTCTGCCATGCCTACATTATTTTCTGTTCCTAATACACCATAAGAAGCACTTATACAGTAAGAAAGCTAAACTGAAGTAACAGGATAAAATCAGCCAAAGCAGAAAGGGCAGTGATAGTTCTTCTTCCTTGAAGACACCAGCAGTAAGTTCAGGTATTTTACTGCCCAGAGCTATTTTCATCTTAGCCTTCATTAAACTAAACATGACAGCACTTCTAAGTTTTATAAATCCTCTGCACACATCTCTTAGTCATCACAGCTTCTTCCTGCTTGCACTCTAATTTTTCTGAGGCAGTTCACCACCATGGGCTAGTTCCGGAGAGTTTAGAGGAGCAATGAAACACTGACAATGTTATTTAGACACTGCTAACACTCACTTCTTCCATCCACTAGTCTAAATATCACCTTGTGCAGCTGAAGTTCACTAAACACAGAAAAAGTTCTTCAGTAATCTTTCAAGAACTGGTTTATTGCATGCACAAAAGCCTGCAAGTGAAAATTAGATTTCAACTGAAAAATTGACCTTATGACCTTATGACGAAGCACTTCAAAGGATTTGAGGGAATAATGACCAGATTCTATGAGTGATTTTAATGCAGACTGTTTGATTTTCTGCAAGACAGTCAGGTAATCTCTGCTTGAAAAATTACCGTTTAATTCTGCCCATGTTAAGAGACTTGTGGTTCGACCCTCAGTGATGGCATGGCCTAAGAGACCTGGGCTTTGGGGAAGACTGTGTGTGTCCAGTGAAGAAACTCCTTCATGTAGGAATACAATGCAGACTCGCACAAAGCCATGATACAGGCCAGTGAGCAGACCTGAGCTGAGCTTCTATCCCTGGGTCTGTTTTTAGAAAAACAAAAAGATGATCAGTAACTACTATGAGTAAGATAATCCAAAACTAAAATCCTGACAAAAAGAGAGCTGGAACATGACTAGCACATCACCCATCAGAAGTCAGCTGTTTTAAGCAGCCAAAAGAACAGCAGGTGATCTCCCTCACACAAGACCGTCAAGACAGCAAATCAACTACAGAAAGGTAACCTTTTCCCCCTTCAGTGCTGTGGACTCATTGCTGAAATGTTTGTGTAAACATCAAATTAATACTCTGTAATGCATTCCAATGATGGCCTGACCTCTTCCAGGAGGGACAGGTTTAACAGCTGTACAGTTTATGCGGTAGAGTTTCAGTTGTGGGGGAGGTCCAGGGGGGGCTTCTGTGAGCCCAGCCCAGCAATGCCCCATGTCAGAACAGAGCTCCACTGCTCCAAAGATATGCAGTGATGCCAGAGCCGAGCCCTGGGCAATGCTGGGTGTGCTTCAGGAGAGCAGACGTAAGAGGGGGAAACTCCTGCACAGCATCTGAGAGACAGATGTGAGAAACTGAAAAGAAATGGCCTTGCAGGCAGCCGGGTCAGTGCAGGAAGAAGGCAGGAGCAGCTCCAGGTGCAGAGCAGCAGCCCCCTGCAGCCCAGGAGACACCTGTGAACGAGTAGGATATTCCTCTGCAGCTCATGGACACCACATGGCGCAGATTTCCTCATGCAGCCACAGAGGAGCCCACAGTGTAGAAGAGATGAGGCCTGGAGGATACACAGCCCATGGACAACCCCACGTGAGCACCTGGGCCAGAGCTGCAGCCCACAGTGTAGCAAGAGGTCTTGTGGGAACTGAAGAAAGGTGAGGGACCCAGGCAGGATCAGTTCAGGAAGAATTGTGCTCCATGGGAAGGACCCCACAATGGAGCAGGGCAGAGTGAGGAGGAAGGAGTCCCAGAGATGAAGCACTGGGGACTGACTGCAATCTCTATTCCCCATCTCACTGTGCAGCTCAGAGGGATAGGATGAAGTAGCTGAATCACAAATGAAGCTGAACCTGGGAAGAAGGGGTTGAATGGGTTACCGGGGGCAAGCTGGCTTTAGGTTTCTTTTGTTTTTAAACTTCCCATTATTCTACTCTGTTACTAACTGGCAATTAATTAAATTAAACACCTTCACAAAGTCAAGCCTGTTTTTTCCATGATGACAATCAGTGTAACTGGTGATCTCCCTGTCTGCAGCTCAACCCATGATTTTTCATCTTTTTTTCTCCTGTCTTGTCTCATAGAGTGAAAGTAGTGTGGGAGGCACTTGGTGACCAGCCTGAGTTAACCTACCACCACAGCAAAAGACACATTCATGTTTTCAGATGAAAACTGTTTCCTGCCCAGGGTTATGAAGCAAATCTCACTTAGTATTGCCATTTCACAGCTTTTCAGTTGTCATTTCAAAAGCGAATAGAAGCAAGGAATAAAGAAACCACCCTAGCCAGTGCTTTGTGCGTTAGGTCCAAGAGCACAGGGGACAGGAGTCAGCAGCACCCTAACTGCAGTACCAGATCAAGGCAGTGGAAAGAAAAAAGTGTGATCACTTCAGTAACTCAGCTTTATCTTCCTGTGGCTTGGTCCTGCGTTAGGATAAGAGGGGCAATCACCAAATGGGATTATCATTCTTTTGCATAGTCATGCTTGGCAGCAGACTGAGAACCATCTCAAGAGAGAGCCCAGATACCTAGTATGCTGCTCCCAGACTGACCCACAACCCCTCCAGGTCTCCTGCGCATCCTTGCCGGCCTGCTGGCTCTGTGAGCAGAGCAGTGAATACAGGAAATGTAAAACACCAGCTCTGCGTTTGGGAAAGACACCTATCTTATCAGCAGACTACTGAAAGGGCTAGTATCTCTCTCCACAGGCTGCCACTGAAAAGTCCTGCATGTTGCAGTGTGGTTCACAAATTAGCTTATTATTCCAGATTATAATTTACTCCTAAAACTGTTTCCACATTAATAAAATACACAAAGAGAAAATATTAACTGAGCGTGACTTGAAAAGCCAGAACAGGCATTGCATGCTGTTCAGACTTTTTTTTTTAAACATACTTTAATTACAATTTATAGGCAAAGTCAAGGGCAAGTGCACCTATTAATTAAAAGAACAAAACAAAACAAAACACCAACACTGCAGATGTAATTTCTCACTAAAATGCGCTGAAAACTGCCTTCCTGCTGCCAGAAGGATAAACATTCTACAGAAAGACAAACTCAAAATTTTCAAGGTCTGGAAGGAAAAAAAAAAAAAAAAGATAGGAAACAAGCCACTATTCATATCTGATTTGCTGCTGCCTGCCTCCACAGCGCTAGGAGCTTTATTATCAGTTTCACTGCAGTTGCATATGGGCAGATTTAAAATCAAATACCGAACTAATTAAAAAAAAAAAGTGTAAAACTCTATGTTCAGAAAGGAATTAAAGAAATTTGACAGTAGCCTAACTCAAGCATGAGACAGTACACCAGTGTAAATCCCATGCAACTACTTAGAGGTTTTGCTGCCTTAATACCCGTGTTTTCACTTTCATTGGGGGAAAAAACTCTTTCAGGGAGGACAAAAATTGGGGGAAAAAAAAACTTTTAAACCTATAAACCACCTAACAAAAAGAGCAATTCTTGGTCTGTAAACTCCAAAATTAGTGCCCATCAATGACAGTATTCAGAAAAGCCTCACTCAGCTAGGCACACTGTAGCCATAAGACAGTTTTAAACTTGTAGAAGTCTAACACTAAGCCTCCCACCTATACAACAAAAAGGGGAAGGAAAAGCAATATGGTTTCAATTGCCCCAAAGGCAATGGCCAGGTAACGCATTTTTTAGAGCGACTGACTGTACTCAAGAGTTAGATAAAAGCCAATGCTGTTTCCAGCATCACGTTACAGCTGGTACGGACTTCCATTTTGTGAATGCAGTCAGCCACACATAAGGTTCTGTTTAGTACAGTTCTTTGCAGCACACTCTGCTGACATCTCACCTAACAGGAAACCCGTTTTGCTCCAACAGTGTAACAACACAATGCTAATGAGAAGCACCGACTACTTTTATGGACAGAAGGTCTAAGGAGGTTTTCCTCAGCTATCCTTCCAAAACTAAGGCATTTTCTAAGGGGAGCTCTGAAGCTTTCTTATGTATGGTCTATGCGGTAGGTAGAAGCATCCCCCTTGCACGCTCTGCCCACTGACACATGGCGCTTTGCAACGCACACGCGCTGACACCACAGCGGTGCCCTGTGCGTAACGGGGACCGCACTACTAAAAATACCCCCGCGGTTTTCAGCGGACGCTGCCGCAGCCGCGGCGCTCCCTCCTGCTGGGCGCAGCAGCTCAGCAGCGATCGGTCCAACCTCACTGCAGACACAGCCCAAAGCCGAAGTGGAAACACGGCACTGTTGGGCGGGCCGTTTAGGGTTGTGACAACCGCCAGCTGCGGCTCGTTACGCGGCATCTGCCACGGGGACCAAAGCTCGTTCCCGGATCTACACCGGCGTCCGTTCAAGTCAACGGGGAGGAGAGACGGCAGGCAGCAGGGGGGCTTTGGGCCACGGTCTTCCAGCACCGCGCCACGACCTGGAGCAGTGCCGCAGCGATACCCGCGGTGACCGGATACCTCCCCAGCGCCCACTCGGCCGCGTCCTCCCCCGGCCCCCCCACTCCCCGCCACCCGATCCAGGCACTCACGACACGTAGGCGGGATAGCCGAAGCCGATGATGTTGCACAGCAGCGAGGCGCCGTAGCCGATCACCAGGTACACGGCCACCGCCCCCAGGACAGCTGCGGGGAGAGAACACGGAGTGGTTACCGGCGGCGAGGTGCCGCGGGGAGCGCCGGGCGGCGCGGCCCTCACCTGCGGCGCTGAAGGGGTACATGGCACGGCCCCGGACGGGCGGCGAGGCCAGGGAAGGAGGGAAAAGAGCGGGCAGGGCGCGGCCGAGCCCGCCGACGGACGCCGCTCCGCCCGCCGCCCCCGCGGCCACCCGCGAGGCCCCCGGCCCAGCCCCTGCTTCGGGACGGCCCCCGCTAACCGATGGCGATGTAGGTGCGGTCGACGCCGGTCTTGCTCTCGATCCGCTCGAGAACGGCGGTCATGCAGTTCTTCTCGTGCAGGAAGCGGTCAAAGCGCTGTCTCATGGCCGCCGTCATGGTGAAGCACCGGACTGCCGCTCCCTCAGCTAGCAAAGCCACCGACGGCCTTCGCGTCTGGCACCGCCCGGACACGAAGCCGCCCCCACGGCCCGCCCCCAGCTCCGGGAGGCGGGGAGCCATCTTCCGCCAAGCCGCGCCCGGCCGGGAAATGGAGGAGGGAGTACCCGCGGTCAGGCCGGGTGTGGAGAGCCGCGGCCGCTTGCTGCTGGTACTGCGGTGCGGGTGGGTGCGGCACGGCGATGCTGGCTGGCGTGCATCTCCAGTCCCTAAAAGAGTGTGAGAGGAGCTAATAGGGTTGTTTTGTTTTTTTAAAAAAATTGTGCCTTATCGGTGACTATAGGTGTTAAACGAGGAGGAAAAGTCGGGATCAGAACCTGGGGGCTGAATAAAGATTATAGCAGCGTGATTCCACTGCTACCTGACAACACGGCAGTCTGAACTCTTGGCTGTAATTGTACCTGGTAGTTGATGGTGCGCCTAACGTACTTAACAACTAAATATAATTCACAGAGCATGATGTCGTCTTAGGAGCTTCCTCAACTGTGCTGACTTTCCAGCAATTCTCCATCTGACTCAGCGCTGCAGTGAGTAATGTAGACTGTGCCTGCTTCAAATCAGTGTTGTTCCCAGGCAAGCTGGAAAGTACTATTTTGTCTTAGAAAGTGGTGTGTTTTTTTTTTTAACTCCTATCTTCACCCAAGGGGAAAAATACATAAATAAATAAACAGTGTAAGTTGCACATTCTCCTTTTATTCCGTCCTTGTTCTGGGAGAGTGCATCTTGCAAGAAACTGAAAGAAGAGATATTTAAAAAAAAAAAAAAAAAAAGATCTTCAATAGCCATCATTTATGGCAAGAATGATGAGAGCAAGGAGAATAATAACAGTCCTTAAAGTTGGAAGAGACTTCAGGAGATCACCTTGCCTGCATCCAGGTGGCTTTTGGGCATCTCCAAGGAGAAGACCCTGCAACCTCTCTGGGCAGCTCTATTACCCACACAGCACAAAAGTGCTTCCTGCTAGTCAGAGAAATAGTCCTCTGGTGTGTGCTCATTGCCTCTTGGCCTGGCACTGGACATTACAGAACAGATCCTGGCTCTCTGCATATTCCCTTTGGATAATTATGGACATTGATGAGATCTTCCTTGAGCCTTCTTCAGGCTGAACAGTCACAGATTACAGCTCTCTAAGCCTCTCTGCAAATGAGAGATGCTCCTTTATCTTCATTGTGGTTGCCTTTTTCTCAACTGTTTCTGGAACATCCATGTCTCTCACACTGGGGAGCCCATAGCTAGACGCAGGACTCCAAGTGTGGCCTCAGCAATTCTCAGTGGAAGGGAAGGATCACTTTATTGAACTGCTGTCAGTACATTGCCTGATTCAGCCAAGAATGTTATTAGCCTTCTTGGTGGGAAGGACACATTGCTGACTCATGTTCAATGCAGTCTAGAGACCCCTAGTTCATTTTATTAAGAGCAGCTTGTGAGAGATTCAATTCTCAGCTTCAGACAGAACAAAATTCTACACTTGAATTTAAAATAATATTAACATCTTTATTAAGATCTTTTTTTGTCAATAATGAAGATGCCACTGAGCGCCAATCCTCACCATTCTTAGAACAGTACCATGCTGTTACAGTATGCCCGGGGTTAAAAATGGCATAAGCATTGCAATGGTATGCAGAAAGCATTGTTACTCTGATTTGGTTTAAGAGTATGCTGTATTCTAGAGAAATTACAGGATTTGTTAAACTCTAAGTGAGCAAACTGAAGAGGGCTCTGCACAAGAAGCTGCAGCAGAACTCCCCCCGGTCTTTCTCCCTCCCCTCCCCCCCCACATCCCCCATCACATTTTTCAGGACCCTTCTAAAAATTTTTTTTCATCATACCTGTAAAACTGAAGGACTGAGAAGAAAGGCAAATGAAATAAAAAATTTATAGAAAAAGAAATGTAATAACAATGTTGAAAGTAATAGAATATCAGCTCAGTTTTCATAATAAACTTTGCACATTTGTTCTTTTATGCAAAAGTGTACTTTTTGATATGGCATTAACATGTCTCCTGGTTAATCTATACTAGACAAGCATTTTCAATGTACTTCAATCTGCTGAATAAATTATCTTTACCAGTAATGTGCTTATCTGCTTTGTTTATGATGGTTTAATTGTTACAGAGCAATAGCAAAATGTTAGGAGAAAGAAGCTGGAAATGCAAATGACCACAAAGGTAGAATACTGTCCTAATGCTCTTTTAACAAAATATGGTGAACAATAAACATTATTCAGTGTTTCTTCTTGTTTCCAGAAAAGCTTAAAAGTAAGAGGAATTATACCACAATCTGAAGGAGCTAGCCTAGAAAAGTTTAAAGGAGGATGAAGAGACCTATTCAAGGAGGTTCTGCTGGAGAAGCAGATAAATGCATCAGGTCAATCCTGTGGAGGGCCACGAGATTTGTGATTTCTTACTATGCAAGTTTCAGAAGTAGCAGAATGCAGAATGTATCCTCAGTAAGAACCAAAGTGTGTAGAGTAGTGGACTACTATGATTCTAGCTGTAGATTATCACAAAATACCAAAGTCTAATTTTAGACATAGGCTACTGGGGCTGGGAGAGGAATTGCTAATTTAAGCTTCATCTAGCCATGCAGGCTGCACGTTATGCCCCAGTGAGGACAGCATTTTAGAGAGCACTTGAGAGGTACTCAAAGAGAACAGCATGGAGCAGGGTTATTTCCTTTCTACTGTCTTCTTCTATCTTCTTCTTATCTTAAACTTTTTTTTCCCCTACATTTATTTCCTAGTTAATACTGTTGGAAATATCCACATAATTTATCAAGACGGTATCTCTGATAAAAGCAGATTTTATTTGCAATTGCAACAGCAGGCATCCTGCAAGCAAGAGTGCACAGAAAGCAGCATTTTATCTTGTATGCCCTATTACCTGACGCTTGTCTCTTTCTTCCCTGATTCCTCATTGGCTGAGTACTTCAGGTTCATAATCTTCCCGATGCTCAACTAAACATACAGATACTAGCTAAATATAAATTGTTGGTAGCTAAGCATATATGGCTATTAAATTTCTAACGTTTGCTCACTCAACACTTGGTCATTGTTTCTGGACACATCCATATCCTTGGACAGCCATAAGTTTGGAAAGGAGGATAAAGGGGAATATCTTGATGCCTACCTGTTGCATCCCAACCTAGCCACAGAGTGAGACAAGCCATCTTTGTGTGGATGCCTTGGCTTCTTTGATATTTGTTAAGTCTGTTTTTCTTTTGCTGAGGATCTCTTATCCAAACAGAATAGCCTTACAACATGCTTTCTAGTCCATAATGCTATACTCATGCTATTTGCAACATTTAAAAACTTCTGCAGTTTTGCAAGCAAGAATTAATGACGTAATTCAGCAACAATATTTCTAAAATACACCATTAACATATATGGTATTTCTACTTTTTCACATCAGGTATTTCTAAGGACAAGTCACAAAATACAAATACACTGTGCTCTACTTCTTCAGATCAATTCCCCTTTTCAATATCTAATGTAGAAACAACATTCCATTCCTATGGTACAAATGGATGATTTCTCCACTTGGGTGTTTTAAGCTACTAAATCTAATAGGAGGATCAGAACAGACTGAATATGCTCACTTAGCTTTTTACCCACATTACTAACCCACCCACCCACATGACTCTTCACCCTGAGTTGTACTCCACTCCTATTATTTATACTCAGTTAAAAGTTAACCTCTGGCTTTAGCACAGGTATATACTTCATCCAACAATCTGTCTAAATTGGATTTCAAGTGGATTATCATACCCAAGGGATGTGTAAATTGTTATGTGGATCAGCTGGGTAAGCCTGTTTGATTTCAGTGTTGACTTAAGTACGGGATTCAGTCATGCCCTGTAGCGTGTACTATGTTTCAGTGCATGCTTGTTCTGTCTATATAACAATATGCACTACTGTCATTAAATTAATGATTACCTGCAAACTCATACGTTATAAAATTGTTTGAGTGTTTTAATTTTAGCTGAAGCCTAAATGTAGATTTTCTAAGCAAATCTACCACAGCTCTTTATACATACCATAACCACATAATCACAGACTTCTTACTTTCCACAGATACCCTGCCTCCTCTGCGATATTCAGAGAATTCTGCTAGTGCTTAGTTACCAAACTTAATGAAAATTTTCTACTGAATGTGTCTTATTCATTATTATAATTTCTTGCGCATTACTACATGTGGCCGTTTTTATATTACTTCTCATTTGAAAACAATCAATCAGTCAAACAAAAAAGAATCAACAACAAAACCTGCCAGGTTATTTTCTGAAGATATTTGCAATTATCTTTCTTTGAACAGGGAACTGAGATGTATTTAGTTTTATGCATATATTTTCAGTAACTTGGAGTAGATGATTTGCTGAATGTAAACTTGTCTCAAATTATTTAACTGTTTATATTTCCCAGTATGGTTCATATAGTCTTAGTTGATTTCCACCATCTGGCTGAGCTGGATGCCTATGTAATCTCTCCCACTCTGTTCATTTCCCATGTATCATATTGAGCAGAGCAGGGCAGCAGTGCTTGAATGGTTCCTGTGTATATTTTATGTAAATTTGACTCAAGAAGGGAGCTTTATAGCAACTGGCAATGCTGAGCTGATGAGGGCTCACACTGCTTATAAATCAGTGCTCTTTGGTGCCCCTACTACCTCTGTTAGTTCTCATTTGCTGGAGATTTTAGTATAGGAACCAACTGTTTGTTGAAGGGCTGAGGGGAAAAGGGGAAATAACGGGAAATAACTTTTTTTTTTTTTTTTTAATGACCTGGGCAAGCCAGGTCAGCTGTAGACTCTTCACATGCTGCCTCAGTTTTTACTGAAATTCACATGAGCTGCAATGACATGTTGTTGAGCTCTGAATTTGGTTCTTTCTTAGCCTCCAAGTTTCCTTCTGTCTTGCTCAATTCTGTTGTCCACCTCAGCTGGCCCCTCCAAAAATGTTCTCAAATTTCAACAGTTGCTTTTGCTGCGCAATGTAGCTCCTTTTCAGAGATTCTTTTCTAACTGCACAATTTAATGACTCTTTTTCTGTTTCCTCTTACCTTCGAAAGGTACCTTCCCCTCAGTTCAAACATACAATGCCAATTTTCACATTTTATTGTTGCCTTTGTGACTGAGTGCCAAAGCTGACTGATAAACACACTAAAAACCTGTTTGACTACATTGTTGGATAATTTCACAGGTTGCTGAGTGCTGGTATGGTAGGGAAAAGTTGATGCCATGCGTTGCCATTCTAGTATCCCAATTGAACTTGCCACTTGATGAGAGGCACTGTCGGCTGCGCCCTCAACATGTCTCTGCTTGCAAGTTCCTGAGACGTATCTGTATGTGGACTATATTTGAAGAAATGTTACAACCCAAATATGTCAGTTTTAATTAAACTTGATTTGCAGGAGCAGGAGAAAAGAATGCATGTTATTTTAGCAAAAGAGGATAAGCCATGAATTTCCTCTAAATGAAGAAAAAAAATGAAACCATGATTATGATCTTGTTAAGATCACACTTAGCAAGAGTTTTCTTCTTAAGTTTCTTTCCTGATTCAGTGTATTTCAGTGATGTCTCAAAAGTGAAGCAAGAACTGCAAATGGCTCTTACCCTCTCCTGTCCTAGGTACTTGGTGGCAGCAGGTATAAACTTTCTCTAGGCTCTACAGTTTCTTCTCTATTACAAAACATCCTTAGATAATTAGCTGCTTAAGGTCCATAGCATTACATACATTTACTTTATCATTTTATCTTTCCCCCCCCCCCCCCCCCAGAAATCACAGGACTAATAGTAGCATATATGGCATAAGGTGTCATTTTCTAAAACATTCTTTTTCTCATCTTATGGGGTTCTTGGTACATGGGGAGGAAAAAAAATAAGTAAATAAGCAAAGCAGAGCAAAGAATAACACTTGAAGGAAATTTTTCCCTGATCTCTGCCTCATAGCAGCTCTTATGAGCTGGCTGAATATTTCCATTCTACTTTTCAGATGTTTCAGGACCAGAGGTTGCTTCTTAGCCTTTCCAGGAAATTAGTCTGGAGTTGGAGACTTTTGCAAATAAAAAGCATTTGTAACTGCAATGATTTCTGTAGGAAAATCTTAAGACTTTAAATTTGTGTATTATGAATTATATATCTCAAGCAGTGAAAAGCAATAAAAAAGCAAAAAATAGGCAAAGAAGAGAAGAGAAAGGTAATGGACTCCAGAGGAGTAATTCTGAGGTGTGCAGTTTTGGCTTCTTGGTAACAGTCCCCTCACTGGCTCATAGGAATAACTGGGAATTAGGAACATCCACTGACTGTTTTTGATGTATGATAAGCTTTGTAGAGAAATACTGCTTACTTGGAACCATAATTGAAGCCCCTGGTCAACAACTTACATATTTACTCTTATCAATTTGGAAAAGTTACCTTGGAAGGTGATACCCTGAAAGTGATGCAAGTCTTGTATTGATTATAGAACCTTGTATGTCTACCCTTCAGGCAGAAACAGAACTCACTGGAATTGCAAACAGTGAGATCTACTGGTTGGCACACAAAGCCTTCCATATGTCCCTGCCAAGAGCCATCTCTTCCTCTGTGCTTCTACACATACAGATTTCATGTGAATCACCTAACATCTCATACATTGTAGCAAAAAGGTGGTGAAGCAAATTATCAAAATCTCCACTGTGAAGTTTGCTGATGAGGACCAATTTGTGCAAATCTGCTGTTTTTATGAAAACTGTGCTCCAAAGTCGTATGACACATGGTGTTTCTGGAGCAACCGTTGAGTCTTTGCTGCTTCTTTTAACCTCGGAAAGGAGGCAAAAGGTGTATTCCTCACTTTCCTAACAGCTGGGAACAAGTTGCAAGCAACAAAGTCGTTTGGGGTATTGCTAGCTCAGCACCTTCCCTACTGCCTTTATTCTAACAAAGTAAATACATAATAATAAATAAATAGCACTGTGTGCTAACCTTGTAAGGACACAGTGGTGTTTGACATGCCTAACTGCAAAGCTCAGCCACAGTCAGGAATCGTTATATTTTTAAAGTTTTTCTTTCCTTTCACGAAAGACGTGAAATCAGAACGTGGGAGATGAAAGGGCTTAGCACAAACCCTGTAAGAACTAGAGCAGGGAAGGGAAGCAATACAAAGGGCTTCCACCCTTCGATGCTTTCACCGAGTTTACTTCAGCGACCGCGGAAGGAGCCGCGGGCGCCCTCTGGTTGCTGCTGCCTCGGGTTTTTAAAAACATCACGCCACCCAAAGGCACTGTAGCGTGTGGGTGCGGGCGGTGAAGCACAGCCAACCCTAAAGCAAGCTCCCAGTCTCACGTGCTACCGCGGAATTCGCTGCGCGGAGATCAATCACTCGTTATGAGCGCGTAGCCCTCAGCGCGGCGGCACCGCCCCCTGCCCAGCCGGACGGCAGCCGATCGCACCCGCAGCTAAGATGGCGGCGGCGGCTGACGTGACGCCCTAGCGCATGCGCCGATGACGCACGAAGGAGGCAACGTTCGCCTTCGGCTGGTTTCCGCGGTCGCTTGAGTCTCCCTTTCCCTTCGCAGCTTTCTCACTGATTGGCACGCCGCGCCGCCGCGCGAGAAGAGCCCGGCGCAGCACGCGGTAGGGAATTGGCGGAGCGAGCTGCCGCTCCGCCTTGGCCGCGCCCCCCGCCGGGCGGGCAGCCGACAGCTCCGCCCTCGCCGCCGAGCCGTGTGTCCGGGCCTCGCCGTGTCGGGATGAGCCGCGCTTCCCCATGGAGACCAAACGGGCCGAGATCCCCAGCAGTGTCCTGGACGACCTATGCAGGTACGGCCTGGCCCGCTCCGCCCCTCGCCTTTCCCTGCGGTCCCGTCATGCCGCGCGGCGGCTGTCGGGGAGCCTTCCCGCCGCCCGGAGCTGACTCGAGGCGTTGCGGCCGTCCTGCTCGGAACTCGGGGCTCGGCGCGGCTCTCCGCCAGGACTCCGTGGGGCACCCCGGAGGCAGCGGGGTAACTACGGGGGACGACCCTCTCTGCGGGGGTAGGTCTGTGCCGCCCGGCCCCGAGGTTCTGGGTAGCTCCTCGGGCAGGCGGGGAGGTGCCGCAGAGAGAACTGCCGCGGGGTCTAGCTGGAGGGAACCGAGGGCGGGGACGGCGGAGTGTGGGTTTCTGTACTCGCAACTTAGCGTTGTTTGCCCGAGGGCATAAAACTGCGCTGGCGGTGTTGGCGGGAGTGAGAAGAGCGGCACGCCTGAGGTCGGTGCGACCTGTGCAGTGACACAGTGGTACGGCGGTTATGGGTCGCGCGTTTGGTTTCGTTAGTGAGCGGTGTGGGGTATCTCGCTGGAGAACTCCGGTGAGATGGAAGAGTTGGGAGAGCACCACCAGTGCAAAGTCCCTTCTGTTTACCAGTCGTTCGCAGTGAAACATTCAGCCTTTCTCAGACAGAATCCATTTTTTCCATAGGGGCATAGCACGTGGACACAGTTTCCCCAGGGGATGGGGGTCTTTTTCAGTTCTTTTTGCTCTCGACTGGTGATCATTTGTGGACTTTTAAAGTCATCCCAGCCTTAGAAATTGATGTCCAAAGCTGGATTTGAAACTTCACAACAAGTACGAAGTTCTATTTTATCTCATTGAAAGGACACTCTCTAAAGCATTTGTGTGCAGTAGGAAAGGGTTATTAGAAATAAGTCCATTTACTTTGAATTATTGTTTTCAAGTGAGTGAAACTGCTTAGGAGTGAGAGCACAGGAAATGGGATCTGCTGTACTCATGAATCGTTCATCTTGTACCTTTGTGTAAGAATCAGTGTCTGCAAAGCAAAAAGACTTATTCAGTTCTTTAAATTTGACTTTGATAGATTGCTTACATAAGCTGTTATGTCTCTTTTGATCTCTGTACAGAGTGTTAGCACTTTTCTTTTAGTTGTCTACACACACTTGAAGAAGGGTCTTTCAGAAGATCAGGAAGAGAATTGCAATACTTACAGCAGTGATCTAGCCATTGTATTGGTGTGACTACTGTGGGGTGGTGACTAGTAGAAGGGCACGTAAATAGTCAGGTCTTGCACTGTTACAGGATCAATCCCACTGTCTTTATTTGTTCCTTTGAGCCACTCTTATCTTCAGCCTTGGAGTTCTGTCTTGTATAAACTGAGTGATGAGGCTTTAATTAAAAAAGAAACACACACACACACCTTCAAATGGTAGACTTAGGGATTCATAGTTACCATCTGTCTTGTTGACTTTTGTTAGTGCTGATGGATCAGCCTTAATTCAGATACACTTCTTTATGTGGGGCACAGACAGAGCAGCTGAAAGGCACAGAGGAATCAGACTTTGATGTTGCAGGAAGTAGAGAGAATTTTCATGGAGTTGTAGAATCTCAAGAGTTGGAAAGAACCTCTGAAAGCCATTTAGTCCAGCTGTTTGCAGTGAACAGGGACACAAGAGCTAGATAAGTTTGCCCAGGGCCTTATCCAGCCTCGCCTTAGAAGTAATGAGGGATGGGGCATCAACCACATCACTAAGTAACCTGTGGGTTTTGTTATGCACAAAGAGAAGTGACTGGATACCTATGGTTTGGTATAGGTTGTGGCTCAAGGGAGACATTTTTTCAGTAAGTGAGAGGTGAGTGGTTCTGAGTTTCACCTTGTTAGCTATAAATGTTAAATTTATTTCACTTCCTATTCTATCTATGTATGCTGTTAAGAGGAATTTTGGTAGAAGGAGTGAGCGAATTTTAATACTTAGTGTAGTGAACTTGTTGAGAAGACGTAAAATATCTTTCACATCATGTTCCTCGGTGTCTGTGTGTGTGTTTGTTCTTGTTGGTATTTTTTTCTTCTGTCAGCAAATGAAACTTTGTTGTCAATTACAGTAATTTCATTGCAAACACAGGTCACATAGAGCTTATCTAATGTATTTTTGTGTGAACTGCAGATCTAAGTAACTGTAGGTGAATGTCTAGGAGATGGAAAATATTTATGTTACTCTTAGTAAGCTAAAAAGTGACCAAAAAACAAAGGGCTTCCAAGTCAAACATGTAAAGTAGTTTAAGGTTTTGTGGTATTTCTTGCTTGTTTTGAATTTGAGAAACAGAAATCTAAGTTAAAGTTTAGATGTCCACGGAGCAAAACTGCTTTCTTTTTGTATCTTAACAACACCTTAGTGTCTTTCAGACTTCCGCACTTGGTTTCTGTTAGAAGAAAGGTCAGGATCTGCAGTAAACTCTGTTACAAAGTAGTTGTGTCTGTGTGAGCTGCAGTCAGGCTCTAACTGTATGTGACATTTTACCTGCTTGACGTCTGATGCATGTCTTTATGATGGTAAGAACATTGTGAGCTGGAGCCAGTGAAATCAACATAACTTACTGCTGAATTAAAATATGATTGGATTTTATTTTAAGCTGAATCACTTTCTTTAGATGTCACTCAGAGGTTCATCCTAGATCCTTAGATTGCTTGCAGCTGTTCCATCCAATTCAGCAAATTAGTCCTAAGTAGTAATTCAACTCTGTAAGGCAGTTTTAATGTCTGCAGGTAGTTCTTGTGATTTTTTTCCTGGCTTCAAAGGCACACAAGGCCGCCTTAGCTGATTTTGTGCATCTTGAGGCAAGGGATGGTGTGTTTGTCAGATAGTTTGGAAAAACTATTGTACAGATAGATTATTTTTATTATATAAAAAGTACTTCATTTTTTCATTTTGTGTGTTAAGGCTTCCAAGTTCTTATGTTATGTACAGGATGATTATATTTCTTTATGTAGTTGTTGGTCTTGATCTTAAATTGCCAAGAACTGTTCAGTTGTGAGGTTATTTGGGCAGAGCATCATAGAATGATAGAGTGGTGTGGGTTGGAAGGAACCTATAAGATCATCTAGTTCCAACCCACTGCTACAGGCAGGGACACCTCCCTCTAGATCAGGTAGCTCAAAGCCCTATCCACCCTGATTTTGAATGCTTCCAAGGAGGGAGCATCCACAGCCTCACTGGGCAATCTGTTCCAGTGTCTCTTAGTACCTAGTCTAAATCTACCTTTTTCCAGTTTAATACCATTTCCTCTCATCCTGTTGCTTGCTGCCCTTTTAAAAAGTCCCTCCCCAGCTTCACTATGGTCACCCTTCAGCTCCTAGAAGGCTGCTGTAAGGTCTCCTTGGAATCTTCTCCAGACTGAAGTGCAACAGATCTCTCAGCCTGTCCTCATAGGTGTGCTGGCCCTACTTTTGCACCCACTCCAACAGCTCCATGTTCTTGTTCTGGGGGCTCCAAAACTGGATGCAGTTGTACACACTTGTATTATCTGTAATAACTTGAAGGAACACAGTTTTGAGGTGGATAAAGTTTTAAGAAGGTTTAAATTACTTCACTAGATAGTGTTTGAGACTTGATGTTCCTATCTGGGTTAATGTGTTCAAAAAGTTCATCTTGCAGTATTTGTATGTTACACTGAGGGTAACATTTGTCAATTTAGTAGTAACTGTAGTATTCAGCATTAAAAAAAGTGCTTATTGGAAAAGGGGAGCTTAATATATCTAATTCTTTTTGGGAGTGGAGAAAAAAAGTCCTGCAAGCTAAATGCATATTTGTGTTTGTACTCTCTGATATTAACCTTAGTTTTTTGTTTTGTTTTGTTTTTTTGTATGCCATTAAATGTGGAGAATAGAATGTTTTCCTATAGGCAATAGTTAGCTTAAATGTGGATGAAATTTTGCTAAAAAATCTCTTGTACATTGGATGAAGGGTTCTTGTGTTCCTGGTTTTATTTTGCACATGGAGCTTAATATAATGTTACTTGCAACAGTAGATATATTCTGGCTCAGACATTCATAGCTGACTTCACAGAATCTAATACTGAAATTATACGGCACTGAAACATGTAAGAAAGAATTTGTGTAAGCTAGCTTTTAAACAGCAAAACAGCAAAAAACCCTCCGCAAACAACAACTTCAAATAGTAAAAAGAAACAAAAACCAAACAGTTATAATTCATAAGCTTTCAAATTTTGCTTCAGAGATCAGTTTGAGGATTGAGGATAGGTTCTAGTGGTGTTAGTGATTATTGTTTAATGCTTTCATTGCAAAATAATTCTCCTACAGACAACAAAAAATAAGATTTAACGCAGTAGTTAATGCATTGCTTTGAACATGATTGGGGTTTTTTTTTTCCTATTTTCAAGCTGTGCCATAGCTTTTTCCTGCTATTTAGCTAAGTTAAAAATTTCAACACCTAGAATTCTTTTGTAGAGTGTGGAGTGTTACTTGGCAGTGTGTGAAAACAAGCACAAAAGTAAGCCAGGTACATAGTGTCTTCAGACATTTGCTTGATTCCTAGACTGTTTTTAAATTGCAAAATGCCAGGTTACAGTTTTTTCTAGAAAACTAGTTTTCCAGCTTCAATATTAGAACTGTTAGGACCTGTTTTGTTAAATAATAAGTCACAGATATTCATATTTTTCATTACGCTGCCTTGCACTTCTGAGTGGTGCTTTGTTGAGTAAGTGGAAGTACAGAGACTGGGTGTTGGATTTCTGTCTTCATGCTTCCTTTTCCCTATAAGCTTATGCCATTACCTCAACTTTTGAATTCGGGGCTGTCTGTCGCACAGTCTTTTGCTCAGCCCCTTTTCCACAGGGGAAATAGTATGGAAAGGATCACGGGTCACAATAAGATAAGGAAGTTACTTACAAGTTAGGGTCACGAGCAAAACAGACTCAAATTGGGAAAAACTGATATGGGTTGTTGTCACTCTCCCTCCTATTCCAGTGGGGTAGAGGAGGGAATCAGAGGAAGAAGTGGTAAAACTCTCATGGATTGAGATAGTTTAATGG